ATGGGGGTGCCAGCGCTGGAAGGTAAGGGAGGCAGTGACGAGGCTCCAACCGCATTTGAGGCTTGAAGTAGGATCCGTTTCGCAGATCGGGCGGGGGGCTGGCGGGAAAATTGGTTTTGTGGAGGCGCATGTCTGTCGACGTTTATCGCTGGCGTTCTCGTTTTTCTTGCCTTATTTTCCGTCCGCTCTTTGCCACATCCCCTTGTGCTGACACGGAGGTGTCTGTAGCACGGTGTGCTTGAATGTGTTTTCTGCCCGAGCTATTGTCCAATCTTTGGCCCGTACCCCCCATGTTGCGACATGAGTTTTAGTTTTTGCAGCACGACAGATGTATGTCCTGTGTTCGCTGAATTTCGGTTGACTCCGTCCGGTTGGATCGTGTGTGGGTGCGCGCGTACAGGTGCGACGACCTCGAGTCTCTCGGCTACGTGATCGTGGCCATGCTGAAGGAGGGCGACAGAGCCCTGCCCTGGAGCGGGTCGACTAGCGTCAAGGACGGCCTTGCATCCAAGAAGTCCACCACGCTCGAAGAGCTGTGCCAGGGATGCCCGGCGGGCATGCTCAAGTACATGAAGGCCGTGCGCGGCTTGGAGTACGAAGAGACTCCCGACTACGACAAGCTCGACGCCATGCTCAAGTCCATGGAGAGCGGCGGGGCGGCAGCAGGCGGAGCGAGAGGAGGACGCGCCGCACCCAAGTCCAAGACTCCGGCCGCCGCCGCTGGCGCTTCGACCCGCGGATCACCTAATGCCGCGTCACGGGAGGAGGAGCGGGACGTGGAGGTGTGTGTCGACGACGGGAAGGGTAAAGGCAGGAAGGGGAAGGGGCGAGGAGAGGCTTCATCCGCGAAGTCGCCGCCGGTACCTGAGTCTCCCAAGCAGCGCGCTACGACGGCGGTGCGGCGTAGCCGGCGGCTGTCGTCGCCGAAAGACGGGGAGGAATTCTATGACGCGCTCCAAGACCACGACATGTACGAAGGGGAGGAAGAGGAGGAGGACCTCCAAGTCACGAAGGTTGTGAAGGGGGCGGGGAATAAGGGGACAGGGCGGCGAGGCACCAAACCTACGGAGAAACTATCAACGGCGGCGAAGGCGGCCGTCAAGAAGAGCACTCATGCCAAGGCAACAAAGGAGAAGGCTAACGGGGTCTTCCTGCTTGAGGTGTGTTTGCGCCGAGACGAACATGTCGTCAGGACGGTTTGTGTTTGTGTTTGTGGTTCGGGGGGCGGCGAGCGAGGCCCGGCGGGGGGTGCGCTAGAGAAGCACGTTTTACGGGGAGGTACGAACGTGGGTCGTTCCAGTACTTCTTGCGTTGAGTCTACGACGACTTCCCAAAGACAAGCGCCGATTGTTGCTCATCGACTACGTACCCAGAGGAAGAAAGACTTCCGTCCGTCATCACATACCCAAACAGAAGCGCCTTCTATACCCAAACCGAAGCACTTTCCGTACCCCACGTAAGCACATGCAATTGAAACACTCGGCTGGTATGCATCCCTCGCGCTCTGTCGATGGCTACAGGTGGTTTCAGGTCCCCATGAAGGGGATACGCTCAGGATGAACGCGGGCGGTGCTGAGGTCCGCGTTGGACGGAACGCGCCAAGGAGGAACGGCCTGCGGCTCGACAAAGACTTCGAGGTTTCGGACAAGTGCGTTCTGTTTTGCAAAGCCGTCGGGCGTTGTCGGGCTGCCGTCTTTGTTCTCTTTCCCGATGTCGCCGTAGTGTATGTCGTATTGTGTTGATGCTCTGCTCATGAGGATCATGCCGAGGAGCGATCCATGCGCGCTATAAAGATCCATATTTTTTGCTTTCCGTGAAGTAGAGGTCGTGCTCGTTTTCGCGTGTGTTCTTTGGAGCGATGACTTGTGAATTCCACTCCAGATTGACAGGATGCCCTGTAAGGCCTGGTTGGGCTTATAAGGATGTTTGGTGGCAACGAGTCGCCCGCTGGTGTCATTTCGCCAGGTGCTGCGGCAAGCTCGGGCTTCCAACGAAACCGGCAGCAGTTTCGTCCGTTGGCGCTCCAGTAATGAGCCTGTTTTCCGCTGGTTCTTGTTCGCGCGTGTTTTTGTCCTCGGTTGTGCACCCTTTCCCCAGGCACGCCATCTTACGCCCAGGTGCAGATGGGATCGGCCTCGAGGACCTGGGCAGCCTGAACGGGAGCTTCGTCAACGAGGACCGGCTGGAGGGAGCCGCCGTGCTGCAACACGGAGACGTGCTGCAAGTCGGGCAGTCAATCGTCCAGATCACTGGCTAAGATTTTCACTCCTTTCTGTCGGTGCTCTTTCTCTGAATTTGTCCACGCCAGCATCTGTTTAACACGCAAGTGACTTCAACCCGTAGGACGTGGCGTGTATTATTTCAACGACATGTAAGAGAAATGCTGACGCATTTCCCTTTTTTTGTTCCCACCGTTTTAGGTCTTTAGGCACCGCGTTAGAGTTGGTGGAGGTTGTCGTTGCTTGTTTGTTTTGATGGCGTATCCGTGCAGCAGCTGTATCAAGCACATGGAGTTCGTCTAATATGTTGTGAGTGTAGCTTCCATATTCCAATCCGAATAGGATTGGTTTCTGCGACGAATAAAAATCCTCTGACTCCGCTCTTTTTATTGCGGCCGATTTCTCCCGGCTCGCGCAAGCTACGAGCACGAAATCACGGCGTTACCTTCGCCAGACCCATGCCTCGAGCGCCCTGCGCTTGGAATTTCGATCGACGCCACACCGGCGCCAAACGCGACCATTTTGTCCACAGCACAGCAACGAATTGACGTCTTTTTAGTGTGGGTGCACTTTTGCTCTTCTTCTCCGCAGCTGAATTCTCAAGCTCAACAACGCCACGACAACGTCGCGGCCACGACGTTCGCGGCCCTGCCTGCGCACACCCCAGCCCTCCCCGGCACCCCGAGCGTTTCACCCGGCGGCGCACGCGGCGCAGCGGAAAACGACATAGCCCCCCCAAAACAGAGGCGCGCTGGCGCCTCTAGGGCAACCCCTCGCATTTTTTCGCCACGGCCATCTCCGCAACCGAGCAAGATACAGCCCCATGCTCGCCGCGGCTCGATGCGCTAGGACAAAATAGGCGTGCTGCGCAAGTCTCGGCGAAGGCGGTGGCGAGGCGAGCGAACAAGGCAACGGACACCCTTTGCACCCCCTGTGCTTCCAATTGGGCCGCTCGCAGCACAGCACACGAAAATGTTGCCGCATAGATAACTCCACATCCTGGTCATGAACGTGCACGAAACTTTGAGAGTCAACAGTAACTCAGTATACACAACCCTGTGCTAAGTTTCGAAGCCACCTGCTCTGCACGCCGCGTGCAACACCACATTCCGCCTCTCAGCGAGCGACCTGGCCTGCCAGCAACAATCAGATTTGATCAGACCGAAATTTCTCAACATGTAGGGAGCCCCTCAACACAAATCAAACATCGGTGTGGAGCTACAACTACACTGTGTTCGATGCTCATGTCTGTGGTGCATCCTCATGGTCGGATCGCGACGTACGAGCAGTGTTTGTGCTAGGGGGAGACGCGAGCTGCA